ACACTGCTTTTCAAATTGAGTGTTTGCGGCGCGCGACAAATGACAAAGGAATGGGGCGAGCTTAATGCAAATTGACATTTGGAAGCATTATTGGTGCATTCTACATGTCGTTTTGGGCTGCTTATGGTTCATTGAGAATATAAATTGTTCACGGAAAAGTTTGCAACGAAAGACAAATGAATTTGCAGTCAACAAGCACTTACTATACTACTAAACATCTGTATAATATGTCTGAGCTTTTCTGCGAGATATACCGGTTCTAAAACCATTTCTTTCACTTCGTCTTCGAGTTGTAAAACAAAAGTATTTCACTTTTCAAGGCCAAGTGGTTTTTGGCCGAACAAATTGTCAAGACATTGTAACAGAGGATAATTAATTATTGCTTCAGTTATAAATGGCTATTAGACTATATTATAAAACAATTATACCATTCGCTCTCGTCGTATATGGCTGATAGCCTACTCGGTGCTACGCATCTCGTCGGCTATCAGCTCATATACGACTCGAGCTTATGGTATAATTGTTAAATATTTCTGCTGCAGATGTTGCCTTGCGTCTAGTTAGGTCTTCTTACTATAAATGTATATATTATTAAATTTCCACTCGATAATTTCCATCTACAATAACCTTCAACATTATCCAAACGAGAGATGCCAACAAAATCTTGACTATTCACTTTTTAACCTGGTATACATGTAGGCTATTTCCTACTATGTTTAGTCAATATAATAGCAAGAAATTAGGTACAAACCAAAAATAAACAATTCAGTATTGAAAATTTGCTCAGTTGACACAATATTTTGAAAATTAAAATAATAGTAAACATTTGTAGATCTCAAATACTTAGTCATGCAAGCCTATACTAGTAAAACTCATGCATGCATGAAATCGGTTTATCAGGTTATTAATTAAGGTTATATTAAAGTGGCACTCGCGTCAAAATTTGTATTTTCTTAAACGAAAATACTCTTAAAACTGTATAGTAACTTGTTTTGAAGAATTTTGTTCCCATATTTAGTTCTTGAGATATTTTATTTTGTTTGTAACCATGTGACGTCAATGACTCAATTGCATAAATAATGAGATATCAGTAATTGTTGTGTATCTTTGCTATTTTTTTATCAAATCTTTTCGAAGATGCGGCGCGTTTGTTAATTTAACCTACATCGTTAAGCATACTGTTTTTAAAAAAAAAACCCATCAAAAACAGCAAAGATACATAACAATTACTGATATTTCATTATATATGTAATTGAGTCATTGACGTCACATGGTTGCAAAGTACAAACAAAATGAAATATCTCAAGAACTAAGCATGGGAACAACAATCTTCAAAACAAGTTACTATACAGTTTTAAGAGCATTTTCGTTAAAGAAAATAAAAATTTTGAAGCGAGTGCCACTTTAAGAAAACCTGAGGTTTTATTTATTTAAAACTTACTTGCAATAAAGATGAAAACGTCAGATGTAGCAAAACTGCTGCTCGTTTCTAAAAAGATCCTAAACGAGTACGTCCCACTATAAGATTGATTAACATTTTTTAAAATCAAGGTTGCTGGCTTTATTATTGTAACTCCACATAAGCCGGTTACAACTATTTCAGGCTTTCCATTATAAAATATACTTGCAATTCGTATTGCATTGAATGAACCATCACTGCTTTTGAAATACCAAGCCCGATAAAGCACTGTAGATATATCACTATCAAATGACCAGTTTATATTCGCAGTCGATCCATTTAAAAAAGTCAAATTGGTCCCGTCAGGTGGTGGTATGATTTTTCCTAAAATAACACTATGATTTTTAACTTTTTTCCACAGCTGAAACCGATTTTAATTTCTCATGAGTAAGTTAAACAATTAAGGAGTCCGGCTACCTTGGCATGGAATCAACACCAGACTGAGACCAAACAAAATGAGGAAACCAACGCCAGTCATCTTTTGGAAATTATACCTGAATAAAATACAATTAACCAGTGGTGTAGTTCTGGAATGTTTACAAGGGGCGGGGGAGGGGGGGACTCTCCACAATGCCCTGAATTGGTGGGGGTTACAATACAATATTTTGAAAATTCTAAATTTTGTTGTTTTTTTCTTGTAATTGTGGGATAAACATTCAAAATTATTTTTTTATTAAAAACAATTGCCGTTAGTAATATAAGTAATATAATAGCTCAGCCACCCTGGGCCAGCCCCCCTCCACTACACCACTGCAATTAACTTAACAAATATTGCTTTCCTTTTGAAATATGAGGTACTTTTATTGCCCTATACTATAGAAAACCATCAACTACGGGGAGGTTTTTCCAACCGCAGCAACAGAGATTGGCCTGTGTTTATGGTGCTGCCAACGTTTATACTTAGCTGTGTGAGTAACGAAATAAATCTAACCTTGACAATGATATATGGTAAAAAAATTGGCTGGCTGGTATATTTTATTACGATTTATTCACTGTATTTACTAAAACGTGGAACGACCGTACAGAGGCGCCGCCAGGAAAACGCCCAGGATTTTTTTGGGAGGGGACAACTTAATTATTTGTGAGTCATAATTCTAGGGGAGGCGGGGACATGTTTTCAGAATACTCGAAAATACACTGTAATTCAGTTGGAAACATATAGTGACATAGAGCTTTTTTTTAGAACAAAGTTCAGCAGATTTTATGAGTAGATGCAAACAAGATGCGCAACCGTCTGCTGACAAGGATGGTAAGAATCAGCATGTGTTTGGCGGGGGTCAGAGGAATTTAGTAAAATCATTTTGCCTGGATTAGCTTTTTAACGTTAAATTTTGTAAATTATGATGGACTCTTAATTTGCATGTATATAGGTGGCAGAATGATGATTGGCTGGGGAGGGTGGCAGGCAAGATAAAGCCAATTGATTCCATGAACATGTCTCCACAATGCATGTGTAGTCACTTAAATGCAATTTCCTGCAACATGAATATGTACTCTTCAAAACCGACTTAAAATTTAATCAGGTATTTTACAATTAGGTTTTTCTAATAATTGAAAGAGCATTTTTCTGCAATAAAAGTGTGCCAGGAAGTGACTGGTTGTCTTGGTGACTTTTGGCCTGGATGTTTTGTTTTGTTTTTTGCATTGACTTAATATTCTGTTTATCAAGCCAATACCGGGTGAAGCAAAACAAGTACGACAGTTTGATTTACGATGACGTAAAGAGCTATTGCATTTAAATAAGCCACTCTGTAAATTTTGATATACAGTATGTCCTGTATCTTTTTATGTAATATTGAGTGAGATAACTGTGTTTAAACTTAAGCAAACATTTTTGGAAACAAAGATTCCAAACAAACCCGATTGGATATGTTGTACATGGCAATGGGCACCCGCCAGATCAAAATGTCAAATTCTTTCAAGGTTCACTGCAGATCAAATCATGGTGTGGGTTGGTTTGACGAGGTCAGGCATTGTTCTGGGTCCACACTTTGTTGAAAGAAATCTCGACACGAGAGAGTACCTCCGAATCATACGTTAATTACAAAGTTGGGGCATTAACATTTTTATATGAACATTGGAATTGTGTGTGACGTTAAAGTTTTGTTATATGCTGAATTATAGTCACAGCATTTAGAATTATTATGTTACGTTAAGATTTTGTTATATGGTGCATTATAGTCACAGTATATCTTAGAATTATGGGATTGCTCATAAGTTGAGTTTATTTACAGTTAATAAACTATATTTCTTTACAGATTGTATGTTTTTTTTCATGTAGCATACATAATTATCTTATTAAATGTGGGTACAGTCTTTACCTCAACAATTATGTATCCATTTTATATATAACTCTTATTCTGTCTGTTTTATCATGAAAAGAAATCGTGGCTTTCTGGCAGTTAATTGCGGTAGAGAAGAGACGGCAATCTGAACATTCTTTGTCACATTAAATATATGAATGTTTAGCTATGTTTACTCAATAATTGTGAATGAAATTTTTTTATAGCAACCATGCATTCAAATTCTTTCAAACATAAAATCTGGAACATGCCACATGATGAGCAACCACACAATTTGAGCGAGCTTCGTGAAGCGATAGTTACAGCATGCCGCAACTTGGAACAGCAAATGATCCGAAATTCTTTAGATTGTAGTCACGGGCAAGACGTTACATTCGTGCTGGGGGGCATGCATTTGCTGATGAATAGACGATTGTTTTTGAACAACAGGCGTGAACGTATTGACTATACAGGGTGTCCCAAAAAATTCCCCCTTTAGAAATCACTCTTGTGCGTTATTATTTGGAAATTTTAGTAAACAAGACGCCTGTTCAGGCGTTCACTGCTCAGGCGTTCACGTTGGCCTGAAAATGACGAAATACATGCTATGGTGCAATCAATAGACAAGGAATACAAATCGTGAACCGCAAACACAAAGCGTGAAAGCCAGGTTGAGAGCGTGGCGTGATCGATACATGAGTGAGTTGGATACGCGTTGATATGAGTTGGATAAGTTATCCTGAGGAGATGTTTTTGTAATGTCCAATGAAAACACAAGAATTACTCACAAATGCAAACGTAATCCATAAATGTGCATGCTCTCTGAGCATGTGATGCGCTAACGCAGACAATTAACGTTGTTTATAAGTCCGTAACGTATAAAATTCGATATTACTCCACCTCGAAATCCAGGAAACTCAGTGATCCAGATATCGCATATCCAGAGACGTTGCACGAAAAAAAGACAACCGAGAAAGTGCAGAGTAGGATAAATACAAAATCCACAGAAAAACGCGGTAAAATTCGTCGACAAAGTCAAATAAAGAAATTGCTTCAGACTGAAATAGTCACTCATTGAATGGCCGCCATCTTGAAAACTGATCTGTATAGTAAACTGGAACATTGGGAATTGAGCCTGCGATGCACTAACGCAACTCGATTTCTCGACGACGAAAAACCAAAAAATTAGGGATTTAAGACACTTAGCCTTACAGGCCAATGTAATAAAGACGGCTTTTAGTAAAACGGCATGCTCGATTCCTGAACTGGTTTCGCGAGAGAATCGCGAGACGTAAACATGCGTGTCTGGGGGTCAGATTGACCGCGAAAAAGTGTCGAGGGTTTACTGTAACTTGGACATATTCTAAATAGTAAATAATACAGTCTGTATTTCATCCATGTGCATGGTTGCATGTCACGGTAAGATACAACCTCGTACCCAGGGCTAGCATATTAAAAAATCGGGCGGGCAGGCCCTGGGTACGAGTTGAGTAAGATACAGGAAACTGAGTTTTAAAATATGCTCTAAATGTTTCGCTACTTGTGGTTTAAGGAAATAAATTCAATATTTCAATCCCTGAACAAATTCTATTCACGGCTCTGATGCAGCGATGCTTTTTTGATTAACAAATGAACACACTAGTGGAGTGCTTGTCGAAACGTTGAAATGATGTACAATGACACAAATCAGAGACAGAGTAGGGACTTATATTACACCTGGTTGATATCTGCATATCATACAAACAATACTGTAACATATATATCTTTAGTTACATACCAATGTTCTGGTTCTATATAACTATTTCCTTGTTTGATGTTTGTCAATTCGGTCACGATGAATTAATTCTTTCGTTTTCAAAAAGCGTTAAATTTCCGTTATTCTAACGCGATCGACCATCATGTAGTCTTCAAACTGCGGCCAAACTCTAATTTAATATATGTACATGGTCATTTGATTTCGGAGAACCTCGCTCAACGACAACAAAATATTATGTATGAAATATCGAAGTATACTCAGGGCGAATGTGACAGTGAGTCAATATCACTGTCAATGATATTCAATGATATTGAAATAAAAAGTTAAAAAATGAATAATAGACGTAAATAATAAAAAACCTAGTGTAAATGGCTTTATTCTGTGGGCGAAATAAATTAATAAAAATTAATAAATAAGAAATAGAAAGCTGGAACTACACACACGTCATTGCCATGCAACAACACTGGCGAAATATTCATACATAGCATATTTATCAAACTCATCGTCTGATAATTCAGCGAAACATCAAATGATTAAACCTGCGCCGTATATTGTTGAGTATAAAAAACTTGTCTTGATATGCGATACCAAGGTATAATACCGTATTTACTCGTTTGAGCGCCGCGGTGCTCTTTAAATTTTCAGAGCTTCAGATGCGGCGCTCATCAGGGTAACAATAAAATAAACAAGTTTTAAAAGGTTTTTGTCACTAAATGTCCACATTTTGACGGCGGAAAGTTTTTACACTGTTAGTGCCGCGCGCTCATTCGGGGGCGGCGCTCTTTAAAACAATTTGATCTCAAATGCGGCGCTCATTCGGGGCGGCGCTAAATCGGGGGGCGGCGCTAAAAAATTAGCTCAACTTGAATCGACTATTTATACCACTATATAAATGTCATTATAGTCGACTATAACTCTTTGATTTTTTTTTATTATCCGTGTTTATATATCCGTGTGTAAAACACCTCAAAGTATGTGGAGAAAGTTTGGCTAGCGTCTTGTTTTTTAACACACTTTTCGGTATTTTATACGCCAGTATATATTACGGTAATAAACTCATAAACCCATTCGCAGGCTAAAACCCATAGAGAGGCCTGCGGAGGAGGCAAAATAAACTCTTTCTCGTTTATTATTATAAGTAATAGCATGGCTTGAGGGAGATTAGTGATTAACCGAGGGTAAGGGGTCATTTAATCACTAATCTCCCGAAAAGCCATGCTATTAGTTTGTAATAGCATAGTTGCGCTCCCATTTAAAAATGGACAAACATGCCCTACTTGGAATCAGCGTATTTAAGCTAAAACATTTGCTTCATTGCTTGTGGGATGTAAAAGCTTGTTGCACATGCGCACTTTTTACGCTTTAATCGGTTACGCATGCGCAATCTATCATTTAACGTACCACAACAAAAACGCTAAATATATTAGTATAAATTTGGAGACTACACATGCGTAATTTAAATGATGCGGCCACAAAATAAATAATAAGACCAGAAGTCTCACTCGATGTCGGAATCTTTGATGTTGATGTCCTCGCGCATGTCGCCTCGCGCATCTTGGCCGTGTCTCGTTTCCAGTGCCCTAAACAAGTGTAATTTGACAAATTTTCATGTAAACATTGAGGAGTGAGAAAGTTAAAACGATACCAATCGAGTTTTAGAGCTTTGGTGACCATTTTAAAAGAATATATCATAAATTCAAAGGTAAGTCTATCGTACTGCATTGTCTTAAATGAATTCTCAGCTAAAATACGGCAATAAATGGATCATAAACTTAGCTAAATTTACTGTTGACAACGAGGTTGACAGATCCATTGCTTTGTTGCCTTGAATAGCTTTACCATAGTCATTTTACCTTAAAATGTAGCTGCTGAGGATATCTCTAAGAGATTTACCAAGATTATTTGCACAATCTCACGATTTAATCATGCTGATAACATGAAAGTCCTTGTGCCATTCTATACTTGGCATAATCTCTACATCAATAGTTCACCAGTTCACTAATATAAATTCAATATATTTTTGAACCAGTCCATATATTATTATGCACAATGTAGTATAGTTAATTTGACCATATTTGAGAAGTTAGGGTGTATTTCATTACACAGACACTGCTGAATTTTAGGTTACATGCCATTGGATTGATATATAAAAAACACTTGTAAAACACACATTATCTTAAGTTCTTTGTATGTTTGCATGGTGATAAAATATAATAGGTTTTGTTTGTGGAAACACCATGTAAATTTATTACTGCAAAGCTTTCGATCCGTAAGCCCGGATCTTCATCAGTGCTAATAATATGTTATTATTAGCACTGATGAAGATCCGGGCTTACGGATCGAAAGCTTTGCAGTAATAAATTTACGTGGTGTTTCCACAAACAAAACCTATTACACATTATCTTGTTGATAGAATAGTTATTTGCAGTATACTAACTGTTGGCATACTCTATTTCAGGACTATCAATTGTTTTTGTCACTGGCAGTCTTTGAAATACAATCTTGCTCTGTGGCCTTTACTGACAAGTTGGCTTTTACTACATATGTGGCACTGACACTTCTTTAATTAATGCACCAGTCAATGTAAACCCCCCAACCAGGGAGGGGCAGGGATTTTGAATTGGAGGGGTAGTAAAAGAGCGAAATTGTCCCCACCCCCAGGGACATCAATGTCCCCCAGGGTCTTAGCTAGAGGGCCGTGTTAGCCGTGTTATCACAGCCAAAAATGGAAAAACACGGCTAGATAAAATGAACGCGGCTTCATTATTTATATAAGGTCGTGTATGTTCATAAAATAAGATGTGCTACTTGCAACAGACAGAATTTATTTCTATTTACGTTATAAGAAAGTTTGTAAAATCTGTTGTTGTTGAAATTGGCAAAAGTGATCTGTGATGTTTTAATGTTTTGATGGATAATGGGAACTGTATGGTGTTAAAATGGTTTTAAATACCCCCAAGAGTTGCTGAAATAACTTAATATTTTAATGTCAGTGAGCAAAATGAGTATATGCTTGCCTTGTATTTGGTTGCAAAGCATAGAACAACCATAGGCATTGTCCGTTGTTGTAGAACCGTAAAATTAGCTATGCAAGGTAATTGACATGTGCACACCCTGGTAATTTAGAAACACACCCAAGATCTAAAATCCTAGCTAAGACCCTGATGTCCCCTGCATGTCTCTCAACCCCAGGAAAATAGTTTTGTATAATCATAGATCAGCAATAGAAAATCAAATTAATTTATGTTGTTGTATTTAAACTTTTCTTGTCAAGAAAACTAAAACAGCAACACAGGATATATATGTTAACCACTGTCCAAGTCTCCCATCATCGGGGACAAATTTATAATCAAAACTGACCACTTTCCCCGCTAAACCTTCCGCCCCTCCCCGGTTGGGGGCAGGGATTTACATTGACTGGTGCATAACTAGATGATTGCATGAAGCATTGCATGGAAGTTGATTTATAATTAGTTTATGAATAAACTCACACTTTCATTATAATGGTTAATCGAATATATCAAATGCATTTGATTGGTTGATGGTCCCTTAATGGTAATCAAATCTGAACCTATATAATGTCAATATACTGGAAAAGTATCAAATTAAATTTTAATTGTCAATGTTGTGGGAAGTAAATAAATCAAACAATTCTGTTTCAACTAACTAGTTCACTATCACTTTGGTTTTCAAATCAAAGAATCTTTAGCCTGGTTGAGCTTTTGAAAAAGTAGCTGCTTGATTAAACGCAAGATTATTTTACTCTGTCTAACGCCAGACAATTTCACTTGTCAATGGGAAAGTGCTGCCACTCAGTGAACTCAATCAGAGCTCAATGAGCAGCAGCACTCTCCCTCGATAAGTAAAATCATCTGGCATTAGATGAAGTGAAATAAACTAGTAAAGCAGGGTGCATTGGGGCACAATGCAGCTTACTGGGTTAACTGGAAAATATATTTATTAAACAATACACACCCTATACTTGTATTTCAATTCACAACATGATTTGGCATGCTTATGTCTATTTGACCCAAGTACCTGACAGGAATGATATTTGAATCACACCTGTATTCACTGAACAAAGCTAATCTAAATGTACATTAATTGTACATGAACCATGTAAATGTAAAAACTAGCTAGAGCAAAAACACACCCACACAGCTTTGTTTTTTATTTTTCTTGAGAAGGAATAACTGAGACTACTGAGTTACAATGAGAGTCACTACAGAAACTGTATTCTGTGATATAGATGATATTGCTTTAAAGAAACTTGCAGCTTTTAGCAGTTGTGTAAGGGTCTGTTTATATTGAAACTGGCTAACCCGCTAAGTGAGACAGCCCGGTAAGTGAGATCTCGCTGTCTAGTTATTTTTATAGTACAAATTATCATTTCTATGGACAAGCGGGCAGGCCCGGTTGCCAAGACCAGGATGGAAATTTCTCCACATAAACAATCATAAGCAGGCTAGCCCGGTTGCCAGAATGAAAGTTCAAAGATACTGCCGCAAGCTATTTTTAACAACTGCCAAAATAATGTCAAAACAACAAAATTGTCCTGGTAAGCAGAATGAAATTTTCTCAAATAAACACAAGAGAAATCATCCTGCTTTAATACCTACCTTACCGGGCTGTCTTGCTAAGCGGGCCAACCCAGCTTCCATACAAACAGGCCCTAACAGTCTCTGTCAGGCAATTACAAGAGGGTCTTAATGGGGGTCTATGGGTGTCAGTTGTCAGCTAAAATGTAAGCCAGTTGTCAGTTGTCAGTGCGATATATTGCAAGCTGTCAGTAGTCAGTTACTGCAAAAAAGCTGACTCATGGTTTTGTCATTATTTCTCAGTTGTCAGTTAGGACATTTTGTCAGTTGTCAGTCAAAAATTCAGGCAAATGTCAGTAGTCAGTTAACCCCATTCAGACCCTCTTACAATGTTCTAATGTCCAAACTCTAAAGTATTATAAACAAGCAGAACAGACCACTTATTGCAAGTTGCTAGTATTAAGTCATATCAACATGTGATCTCGACAATATACAGTGTATAAACTAAAGTAATTCAGCTTCTACACATGAAGCGACTTTAAACACTATCCTTACACTTTATCAATTCATTGAAGTTTGTACTTAAAAGACATTCTATTTGTAGTATTAAATCATAAGACATATTCTATTCGTAGTATCAAGACGGTCACATCAGGATTTTATAATCTAGCGTCTTTGGACCCAAGTGATCTAGAGTTCTATCTTGTTAAAACCTATCCAAGGAAAAACAAAAAAGGGATATTGAAGTAATGGTGTTTTTGAGCCAAATAAATTCGAATATCCACAAGTATAAAAGCAGAACTCCGTATATACCGGAGACAAAATGGCATTATAGCGAACACATTTTAATGATGCTCAAATTTATATTCAGTGCGCTATATTTTTAAAAATATGACCCTGTTTGCTTTCTAAATACAACAAAATTACTGCTTTACCTTCTGTTCAAATAGTTCCACACATAAATCGAAGTCACAATTCGTACTACTTGAAAAAAAAGCTGTTTTTAATGTAGAAATGACAACTTCCCAATATAATTTTCTATTGTCAACACTGCATTACACTTGTTTAGCTCGCGCATGCGCAGTATAAAGGATGGGACATGTTTCCGCTTGAGTAAGACTTCTGGTCCTATTATCTATTCTGTGGCTTCATTGACTGTTGACTGTCGAGGAGTGAAGAGCTCTCTGACTAAACAAATATGGAAGCTTTCGAACGACAAGAGTGTCAGATACTCTGTGAAAACAGCATATTGCTGTATTGTTGCGATCCTCATTATGACTTGTGTTTTACTATAGCAAGTTTACCTTTTTTTTAAATTGCATGGGACGTGTTGTCATTTTAGTTTAGAAACAATCCGTCTGAGCGAAGGAATTGTGTTTATATAAATATTCCCAATAGCAAGGCTCTTCTTTCTAATTAAAGTTGGATGGCGTTATTAAATCTCCGTGTATCATCAACGTAAAAACAAGCGCAGCATTTAATAAGGTTGGTATACTACAATGCATTACAGTTATCTTGTTATTTAGTCAAATTTCAGCTTTGTTGTTTTTATTCTTGCACTGTACTGTACTGTACTGTAATTTCATAAATACACTGTACAAAATTATAGCGTAATATTTGTGTTTATTGCCTATAGTTTGACCCTATTGTGTGTGTCTATGTACTGTGTCACTGTGATACATAATTATGTACATGTTTTGAGTTAAACAAATTGTTTAATACATTTTTGCTGAAGTATGATGCCTGTTTGTATCTAGTTGTGGATAGATTTTTACATATATGTGCATACAGTAGTTATATATTTTTCAATTTTCATCTGTAAATAATATTGCCATACTTGTGTGTTGTTCTAATATTACTGTGAATAGTGACATACTTTTGCATTAGATTGCTAATTTTAGAGATTACAGTGTATGTATAAAATAATAAAATAAAATTTTTCTTGTTATGATTTTGTAGAAAGAGATCTATTTGAGTGGTTGGCTGGTCTTGAACCTGGTCAGATAATGAAGGTGATGGGGTAGAAAGTTGTAATGAAGGTGATAGGGCAGAAAGTGGTGACCGGTTAAGTGATGAGGATGAAAGTGACGAGGACAAAATCACCCATGCTGTACCATTCAAGATTTCAAGTGCATCGGTGCTGCTCATGAGAAAAACTACCAACATCATTTTGGAACAGGCATACCTTGCTCTTCATTGGCCAGAGCAATTGAATCCAACGGACTCAAGTGCAATTGATGTAGACCATGGAACCGGATGGACACATGTTGGTTATATTGCTTCTGAACTATGCGAGCATTTACACCCATTAATTGCAGCAGGAGATATCTTAGAGGTCTATGTTCAGCATATTAAGTATAGGGTTGAGTTTTTTAAAATAGGATTTTATCCAGACTCGAGTGGCCGGTAAGGAAGAGCATGAGTGTACGTTGACAGATGTTTGTGATATAATAGCAACTGACTAGGTTTAGCAAGTTATAGAAATGCTGTTATTTCAATTGGCTAACTTTTTAGATTTTTTTCAGCATTTTTAAATTAAACAAAAACTAGGTTAATCACAAGTGGGTGCAATTAAAACAATGTCTGTCATGCACACTCATGCAATTAAGTACATAATTGTAACATGTGCTGTACTAAATGAACAAATAAATAGTTTGTACATTCACTTTACCAACTTTGTGAGTAAATTTTCATTAAAATTAATGCAACAATAAAACAAAAATATGTCTATTTATATACAATAATATTGATCAATAGTCCCACAATAACATGCTGCTGATACTTTAATTAAGGTACATTATATGAGAATACAAAAATAACCTGCATATAATGCACCTATCAATGTTAACTCCCAAAGGGGGGGGGGGGCATATGTGGGGTATTTGATCATTAATTGCATATCCACCCCAGGGATTTTGATTAGTCATAGTTAACTATGGATTAGCATTTGGGCCCAAGTTAGGGCAATTTGAATCAAAATTACTTTTATTAATATAGTATTTATTGCAATTTATTGCAAAATGGTAGGGTATTTGACCAATATTTATTGCCCAACAGTGGGGCATTTGACCCCCCTCTCTGGGGCTTAACATTGATAGGTGCATAAGAACCACCATTTCTCAAACTTTATTTAGCTGAATTAGTTGTGTAACAGCATTTATACAAAATACTGTTAAAAAAGGCCAAGTGGGCCTTCACTGCTATAAAGGGCATTCTATCCAATGGCATTATAGGACCAACATTTCCATGGCGTTGTTCTCCAAAGCATCGAGCAGCGTTATAAATCAGATTGTCTTTTTTACCAGCATGAAGTACAGACATAGCCTTGGCAACAATTGGGATGAGGGACAAATTTAGCATCTAAACCAGGAGCATCTAAACCAGCATCTTTACCAGCCATTTTTGAAACGGGTGGATGAGTAGCTGTTCTTGTTGTCACTGCATGGGTTAGTTTTGAAAATCCAGAAGTTATGTCAAGTCATCATATCATATCAGTAACATTACCAGAGAAGTGAACAAGTTTAGAACTCCAAATTTAATGATGATGCTTAATTCTTGCAGACGAAATCATTGACAAAAATAGAATCCTCTAGCCAAAATCACAAATCTATAAAAACAGCCAAACAATGAATTTCACCAATAAAATCTTGTTACAGAAGTGCTTTAATTTTTTACATACTTTAACCAATATATATAAATCCATAATATATCGAAACTTCTATAGTATATCAAATTTCTTTAGAAAAAAGCTAATAATAGCAGTTCATTATCGATCTGAGTGACAAGGCAGCATATTTTACAAAGGGCTATATTCAACGGTGAATATCTCGAAAACGGTTGAGAGGCCGAGGGGGGCCGGCTGGATAGAATTAAAGATTATACTTTTATTTAACTAATCGTGAAAAAATAGCGAAATCGAACCATGGAGGTTTGAGAATTTTGTCTTCAAAGATTGTTGACAGAAACGCCATTAAATTACATCGCGACGGCATAGCGCCTAAGTGAGAGGTCAAAATAAACTGGAAAATGACGCTTACCTTTTAAGATACCATTCCAATGGGTAGATTGACTGTTGTAGAAGTAGTATCGCGTGAAATTTCCCCAAAAAATTGCATAACAATATG